GCCCGGCTTCCTGCGGCTGACCTTCGTGCCCGCGTCCCTGGAGCACCTGTACCAGACCTACTTCAAGAGGCAGCGCCACGAGACCCTGCTGGTGCTGGTGGTCTTTAGCCCGGGGGGCGGGCGAGGGGAAGAGCTGCTTCTACTTGGCGGTGCCCTTTCTTCCAGATGATCAGCGCGGCCCGCGCCCTGGAGACCGTCCGTGCGGAGCTGAGCTGAGTGCGCCGTGGTCTTCTCCGCGGACAAGCTGGCTCCTCTCGTGGTGGCGGGCGTGGGGCTGGCGTTGGACGTCCTCCTCTTCGTGCTGTGCCGGAGGGGGCTGCTCCCCAGCCGGGTCACCCGGAAGGTGGTGCCCTACCTGCTGTGGCTGCTGATCACCGCCCAGATCTTCTCCTACCTGGGCCTGAGCTTCCCCGGCGCCCACGCGGCCAGCGACACGGTGGGCTGGCAGGCCTTCTTCGTCTTCTCCTTCTTCATCACGCTGCCCCTCAGCCTCGGCCCCATCGTCGTCATCTCGGTGGTGTCGTGTGTGGCGCACACGCTCATTGTGGGGGTCACCGTGGCCCAGCAGCAGCAGGACAGGCTGAAGGGGATGCAGTTGCTCAGAGAGGTGAGTTCAGCCTTCACCTGGGGTGTCACCCTGGGCTTCCCCTGCCCCTGGCTTGCAGCCCAGGGGGTACCAACTTCGAAGGTGGGGGGGGCGGCATTGTTCACTTGGCCCTTGAGTCAAAATGTGCCCGGGGGGTCCCCCGTGCTCTCAGAAAGGACCCCTCTCTCTCAACCCCTGCTTTTGCACTAGAGTTGGGCCCCGAGGGACTGGAGGCTGTCAGGACACTGGGCCTCAGGGCCCCTCGGTCACCTGTGCCCAGCTCCCGTGGGTGGTAGGAAGGCCGCCTGGGCCTGGTCTCGAGGCCTCATTGTCCCGGCCATTCTCTCCTTGACCTTCGCCAGGAGGACCTTCTGGGCTCTAGCCTGACATTGCCCAGCTCTGGCCAGTGTCTGACTCGTGTGGACTTGGAATCCCTCTGCCAATGGCCAGCGCCTGCCAGCACAGGGTGGTGGTTGTGACGGTCCAGGGGAATGTGGGTGAAAGAGCCCGGGAACTGTGAGGGGCGGTGTGCTGGTCACAGGCCCCTGTCTGCTGCTGGGAGCTCGAGCAGTTAGATGGGGGGAGGAGTGGCGGTCTCCCCCCGAAGGCGTGGCGCGGGGACACAGACGGGGGACAGTGTGCCAGCCATGGCGGTGGAGCCTCCTGCTGGGAGGGTGGCCCCGTGGCCCCAGCTGAACAGCTGTGTTCCTCGGGGTTCCAAGGCCCCAGCTAAGGGCTGAGGGGCTGCAGAGCCCGCCGTCTGCGTTTATTGTTGGTGACCCACCTGGGGCCTCCTCAGGACTTAGCATCGATGGGTTAATTCTGCAGCTGTGAGCCCCGCCTGCTGCCTTGTGGATGGGCAGTGACCTGCCCAAGGTCCCAAGGCCACGTAGCTGGTTATGGCAGTGACCTGGCTGGAGTGTCCACTTCCCAGTTCCCTTTCTCAGTTCCGTCCCACTGCGCTCCCTGCGACGTCATACTGTTGCCTCCCTCTCGGCCAGAGCCGTTAGCGTTGTCTCCTGGGGTGGAGGGCTGAGTCTCTAGGTGCCCGGCGGTGCCGTTGCCGGTTGATGCAAGAACCCTGTGGGGCCGTCCCATGGCCGCTGCCCTGGTTGGAGGAAAACACAGATTTTTCTCTGTTAACTTTTTCCTAGTTCTTGGACCGATACTCTTCTCGTTTCCCATCATGGCTCATGGACGCTTTGTGCCTCTCGATTCTGCAGGTGCATGTGGGCTCGCGTAGGCACATCCACAGGCCCTCTGAGTTTCTCCCAGGCATGTGTTCATGTAAGGTGACAGCCCGCCTTGACTGTCCTGACTTGCGGGCTGGGGAACGTCCGTGGGTGCCTCTGCCCATTGAGGCCCTGGGGAAGCTGCTGGGAGGAGTGGCGAGGTCAGGCCTAGAGTTCTGAGTGATCGGACGGAGCCACGGCCTTGCACTGGTCACGTCTGCCCCGTTGCCTCTGCCAGGTCCCCGGCTGCATGAGTTTCCCGGATGCTTTGCTGTCCATTAGGGAGCAAAACAGAAATTCTCCCCATCGGAGCCCAGACTCTGAACCCATGATTGCTGCGTGTCCTTTGGGTGTTGCTAAGAAACAAAACCCAAACAGATGAGGAAACAGAAAAGGATAGAGAAATAAGGAAATCCAGAATAACCGTGTTAGCATCCCAGGAGAGCACGCCTTGCCATGGAAGCAGCGCCCGGGCTGTGGCTCTGCGAAGGGAGGGGGAGGGGACTCTCAAGGTCAGTTTGGAGCCTGAGATGTAGAATGCAGGAGGCCCCAACTTGCCGTGGGCTGCGTTCCAGAAGCTTCTGAGTCACTTGTTTGGGACGAATGTGACTTTTCAAAAGGTGCCTGGGTTCCCAGGCCCACCCAGCACAGGCTGCCTTAGGTCCCAGTGGGAACTGAGCCCGCATGGCCCTGCCTGCCAGGGTCCCCCACTGTGGAATGAAGCTTCACCTAAAAAAGCAGCAAGGATAGAAGGGGGTGGGGCTGGAGGATGGGGACTTGAGAAGGGGGTGGCCAGAAACCCCGCCCCCAGCAGGATAACCCCGGGAACTTTCTCCAGATGCCAGCATCTCCCTTCTTTCCTTTCTCCCGCCTACAGGCTCCCCTTTCCTTTCTCCTTCCATCACCTGGTGGCTCCAGCCAGGGACTCCTCCTGGGTCGGTGGGGATGATCCCAGGTTCACAGTTCGAAGTGGACACTGGATTTCCGGGGTCTGTGTGTCCTTTTGCTGCCAGGGTCCCCGGCAGCACTGAAGACGCATTTCAGGGCCCAGGGTATCTTCCTCGGCACCTCCAGCCCCCCAACCCATACTTGGCCTGTGCGGGGGATCCCAAGAGACTTGGGACCTCAGGGCGGCCTGACATGCAGAGGCAAGCCATGCAGCTGCCCTGGGCTCTTCTCAGGGGGCGGGCAGGTGGGTCCCACAGAAAGAGTGGGGTATCTGGAATGTGGCGTGGGGTGTGGGATGGGGGTGTTGCTGGGGCTTCGTGTATTACTGAACGAGTAAATGTTACTGGGCAACAGGTGTGGGCCTTGCAGCCGGCAGGGCCTAGGATGAAGAGGTCAGACAATGACGGTTCGAAGCTGTGGTGGAGGGGAGCATGGCCTGGGGCTGGGGTACTGGGGGCTCGGAGGACAGGAGGGGTGAGCTGCAGCGGGCAGGGTTTCCCCACATCCCTCCCCTCGCCTGAGTTTTGGCACCACCAACTTGCCCTTAACTTCCACAAACTGCCTTGGGTGAGGTGAGGAAACAGCTGGGGGCGGGAGGGTTGAGGGGGGGTTGAGGGCAGGGCCAGGCAGCAGCTGATGGGAGAGGATGAAGGGGAAGATGGGGGTCTGGAGAAATGCAGCCCAGATGGTGGGGAGCGTTCCTGTGGCCAGTGGCTCACCTGTGCCCATACACACCTGTTAGGTTCTCCCCGGCCGTCAGAGGAATGAGTCTGTGGCAAGTTAAGGGTCAGGACACCCTGAAAAATACAGCTTCATTTTATAGCAGAAAGGCTGTTTGGGCACCCAACCCAGAGCGAGGCTGAGGGGTTTCCCAGGGAGAGTGTGTAGAATCAACCGGAAGAGGGTTTCGGGCCCAACGTCAGGGACCAGCCTGGTGGTGGTGGGGCTCCCGGCATGGAGCATCCAGGCCCGTCCCTGCCTCTGCTTCCTGCCAGCTTTCGCTTGTCCCAGGCGGCTCGTGAGGGGCGGGTGGACCATGGGGAGCAATAGGCAGCCCTGGTCTGATGGTGTTCACACCACTGGTTCTCGTGGGTTGTGGAAACTTAAGACCAGGGGAGTCGAGTGGAGCCGGGGCGTTGGGTGGGGGGCTGGCTGCTCATTGGCCTACAGGTGAACAGGGCACAGGAAAGCTGCTTGGCTGCCTGGCGCGGGAGGGGCGGGTCATGTGCGTAGAGGCCCCTTACAAACCATAGAGCACCACACGCATGCTAGGTGTTCGCTTCTCTGTTGCCGTTTCGTCTTGACACACCATCCTGATCGCCGATCTATGAATGAATCAGACCAAGTTTATTTACTATCCCTTTTCTCACCTCTTTTTCTGTGTAACCAACTGGCTCTTTTTTCCTCTTTCTCTCTCATTTTTGAAAGCATTATTTTAAAGACTGTTTTCAATTACAAAATGCTTTACAATGTTGCAGAAACTTTGGAAACGAGGGAAAATGTATTCTAATCCTACCATAACCATTTTTTGTGTGTGTGTGGCTTATTCCTTTCTGGTCTTTCCTACAGAAAATTTTACAAAGCTGTATGCATGACCACCCCCCCACTTTCCTTGGCTTCAGAGCATACAGACTTTTTGTATTTTGAATTAGTCTTCACAATCACCATTTTTAATGGCTGCGTCGGATACTGGCTCAGTGCGCTGTAATTAAGTGTTCCTTTTCTGTAGGACGTTTGGTTGCTCTTAATTAATTCATCGTAGATTCTCCTTATTTACGTGCAGCGCCGGCAGGCCCGTGGCTCTCCTTCCCCTCCTGGCCATGGAGTGTCTGATTCCTCTTCCTCCTGACAGTGTCTCAGCTGCTGCTTCCAGCCAAATTCCTCGTGGTCCCTGCGGGGTTTGCCTTGATTAGTAATGAGACCTTTCCTTTGCTTTCCCCTTTCCTCTCTTCAAGAACATTTTCCTTGTTGTAAACAAAGTGAAAATGACATGTTTCCCAGCAGATCCCACCCTCCCCCCCTTCACCCCATTGGAAACCCCAGGGTAAGAGGACTGGATTTGAACTTGGCAAGATTTCCGTGGTCGTGGTTTGTTGTTCACATGTCGTTTCAAGACGGGTCCCCGTGAATGTAACTGGTGTCGGCTGGATCAGATCTGGCAGCGTCAGGCCCGTCCCAGCTCCGTGGGCTCCTCGGCGCCCCTGGAAGGCTGAGCTTCTCACCCAAAGGGACTGGGCCCTGGGGCGTTGACACGTGGGGCGTGTGTCCTTTATTGCGAATCACAGGGACCATCGGGCTGTGAGATGTGTCCCCCATTCCTGTTCACCAGGGTTGGTGGCGCGCCCCTCCCGACCCTCATCGCCGGCGTAGGGGTGGACAGGTTCGTGGTGCTCAGAGTCCGTCTTGCAGGCTGTGCCACCGCTTCTCTGTGGGACCCCCACCGCCCGGCTCTTCCTCTCTTCTTTGCTTCCGTGTCTCTAGGGGCTGGGAGCTCACTTTCCATCAGAATAACCGACCTGGTTCGCAGTCTGTTAAAAGCAGTTACAAATAACACTGACATAGGTCTTTAAGGTATTTCTTATCTTTGTCACGTTGTGTGGTCCTCATGCCGATTCTGTGAGTGGAAGTTCCTGTCTCGGGCAGGATGTAGAGGAGGGTCACACAGTGAAAATGCAGGCGGCTGGTCTCCAGTCCGCCGTCCAGACCCACATGCAGGGAAAGTCCTCTCCTGATGAGGTTGGCAAAGGCAGTAGTAGGTCAGTTAATGCAAAACGTTCAATTATTGTGGTCCCACAACGCGTGGGTCAAAACACACGGAACGATAATGTGCCAAAGAGTGAA